TTCAATAAATATTTAACCGAGAAAATATTTATTAAATAATATTTAGCTGAAAAAATATTTAGTTCAATAAATATTTAACCGAGAAAATATTTAGTTCAAGAAATATTTAACCAAGAAAATATTTAGTCGAATGAATATTTTCACGATTAAATATTCAAATTCAAATATTTAAATATTTCCATTAAATAATTCAAATTTAGAGAGAATAATTCAGTAGACTTTGAGTCAATTATATATATTTTTTCCGGTTGTAATATTAATTAATAATTAATAATTACCATTAAAATTAATACCTCTCCCAAGATTCACGAGAATTTTGTTTGTGAAAAAAATTTCTCTTCCTATTAACAATATTTATTTTCCTTTTCCATTTCTTTTATTATTAATAAAAAAAAGTTATATATATTTATTAAAAGAAATAGTAAAAAAGAGAAGAAATTAGTGCCAACTTTGATAAAAACTATTTTCGTCGAGCAAAACAAAAAAAAAAAAAAGTTGAGTGTAAAAGGTCGGGCAGAAGCCAGTTTTTAGTTTAAGTTCGGTGACTCGTTTTTTCTTTCACAAACGTGCGTATCGCGTGTGTATTTGTGTGAATGTGGTCATGAACATTTGAAACGGGCACACCAATTCCCATTGCAAGGTTTTCCGCGTGGTAAAAACTTTCCCAGGTGAGAAAAGCAAAAAAAAAAAAAAAAAAAGAAAAAAAATGAAAATAAATAAGCAAGTAAATAGTCGGCGGCATCGCGACGTTTCAGTTTCTCCCTTATTTTTCACAAAGTGCAAAGAGAAAGTTTGTGCTTTCTGCGGAAAATTGGACGAGAAAATGTTAGATATATATATATGTTAGCTGGAAGGTACGAAAACTTTTGGAAAGTGTGTGCACACCTCGCCTGAGAGTTTCGAGTACTCTCTCTCTCTCTCTCTCTCTCTCTCGCTCTTTCGCCAAGTTGCGCTTGTCTACCCATGACGCACGTCAAGCAAAAGGCAAATATCTATAAAGTACTTGATATATTACTTGCGCCTTGGTAATACAACCTGTGGGTACGTCAGAGAAGTCTACACAAGCTGTTGCATCTGATTATGATCGATACTTGACAATTTTCGAGATCACTTCACATTAAACAATTTTTTTTTTTGAAAAACAATTCAATTTTATTTTTTTTTACATTTTTTTCTATTTTTATTTTCATTTGGTTGAATAAAAATTTATAGAAATAATATTTATCCGAATGAATATATTAAAGCCGAAAAAATATTTAGTTCAATAAATATTTAACTGAGAAAATATTTAGTTCAATAAATATTTAACTGAGAAAATATTTAGTTCAATAAATATTTAACCGAGAAAATATTTAGTTCAATAAATATTTAACGGAGAAATATTTAGTCCAATGAATATTTAATCGTGGAAATATTTATCCGACTCAATATTTAACCGAGAAAATATTTAGCCAAATGAATATTTAATTGAGAAAATATTTAGCCAACTGAGTATTAAGCAGAGAAAATATGTAGTCAAATTAATAATTTATTAATTTATTTATCGAGAAAATATTTAGCCAACTGAGTATTAAGCAGAGAAAATATGTAGTCGAATTAATAATTTACTCGAGGAAAAATTTAGCCGAATGAGTATTTAGCAAAGAAATTATTTAGTCGAATAAATATTTATCCGAATGTCAAAAAAAAGTTAGCCAAATAAATATTTAATCTAATAAATAACAAACCGTATAAATATTAAGCCAAAAAATTAATCTGAATAAATATTTAGCGGGATAAATAATAAATATTAAGCCAAAAAAATAAGTCGAGTAAATACTTACCCGAAAAATGCTCGAGACGAAAAATTCCATTCAATAAAAATAAAACTAATTTTTATTAAGCAAAACTCAAAAAAAAGCCCTACGGAATAAAAATCGCGTTAAATAAAAATGACCCTAATTAGAAAACTCGGCTAAATTGAAAAAATTCAGCTAAATAAAAATTCCCTCAAGTAAAAAATTATAGCAAATGATGATGTAGTTATAAGGATGAAACCACTTTTAATTTGCGGATACTAAAGCTCTTTATAATCACAGGAAACTTTATTCAAAGAATGAAGCTTCCTTTGTGCGTTAAAAAGATTTCTTTTCCCTTTTTTTTCCTAATGTTAATATACTTTCATCTCTCTCTCTCTCTCTTTCTTTTTTTTGTGAAAAATAATTTCTTCTTTAGGAATATTGAACTAATTCGTTATATAATGGAAAAAAGGAGAAGATTGTTGCTGTATTTTTTTGTTTCCCATTTTTTTTTCTTTTTTTTGTCAGTGAAATGAGAGAAGTTGTTTCTTGAAAACTCGATAGCCTTAAACTGTGAGCAAAACTAAAAGCATGTTTCGAACTTTACAAACTTGATTGACCTAAACAACAATGGCGAAACTCTCTGAGATAGATTCCCGCAACGGGGATTTGTCCATAAATTATAACGGAACCTTAATTATAATGGAGTTTTGGGGCCGAACGCTCTATTCAAAATTAACTCTCTCTCTCCCTCTCTCTCTCACACACCCTTAACCGAGAAGAAAATAAAATGCAAAAAAAAAACTGTACAATTAACTATCCAATCTTCGTTAAATTTTTTGTCTTCGCATTTTTCATCCCTTTTTTACACCACCGTATATTTTTCAAGTTTTTTTTTCAGTTTAATTTGAAAATTTAATTAAGTACTGTAGTGTGAATTAAATATTTTGTAATAAATAATAATTGAAAGATAATTATTATTCTGTACATTAACTTTACTTTATAATCTTTATATGCATTTTTAATTGTTTTATTTATTAAAGTAATTATTAATTAACTGTGATTATAACTAAAATTATTTGTAGTAAAAATTTCTGATATTAAAAAAACATTTTGTTACTATTATTGGTAGTCAAAATTATTTATAGTCAAAATTATTTAGCTACAATTATTGGTAGTCAAAATTATTTGCAGTAAAAGTTTCTGATAGTAAAAAAACATTTTGTTACTATTATTGGTAGTCAAAATTATTTATAGTCAAAATTATTTAGCTACAATTATTGGTAGTCAAAATTATTTGCAGTAAAAGTTTCTAATAGTAAAAATCATTTTTGTTACTATTATTAGTAGTAAGAAATTCTTATAGTTTGTAATTATTCATAGTAAAAACCCCTGTTAGTAAAAATCATTTAGTTACTATTATTTGTAGTTCAAATTATTTAAATATTTATAGTAAAAATTTCTTATATTAGAAATCATTAATTAATTAAAAAACATTTTGTTACTATTATTGGTAGTCAAAATCATTTACAGTAAAAATTATTTAGTTACAGTTATTGGTTGACAAAAATATTTGTAGTAAATCATTTTTTTTTACTATTATTGGTAGTAAAAATTATTTACAGTAAAAATTATTTAGTTACCATAATTGGTTGTCAAAAATATTTGTAGTAAAATCATTTTGCTATTATTATTGGCAGTCAAAATTATGTATAGTAAAAATTTTTGATAGTTGCAATTATTTATAGTAAAAACCTCTGATAGTAAAAATTATTTACTTACTATTATTTGTAGTTAAAATTATTTATAGTAAAAATTTTTTATAGTAAAATTCATTTCGTTACTATTATAGTATTATTAGTACTCAAAAATATTTATAGTAAAAATTTTTGATAGTAAAAATGATTTAGTTAATATTATTGGTAGTTGAAATTACTTGTATTAAAAAATTTTGATAGTAAATATAATTTACTATTATTAGTAGCAAAAATGGTTGATAGTGTCAATTATTAAAATTAAAAAACCCAAATAGTAAAAATAATTTTTAATTACAATTATTGGTAGTCAAAATTATTTACAAAAAAAAATTTTTGCATAGTTGCAAAATTGTTAGTAAAAACTCCTGATAGTATTTATAGTCAAACAATATTTTTTTAATAAAATTATTAGAACTTAAAAATCGTTATCAATTAATTGCTTAATAATTAAGCAATTAAAAAATTTTTTGTTTCCCCAGAAGAAAAAACCGCTGCCAAGTTGTATTTTTTTTATAATTTTGGTGGTCATTTCATGAACACTTTACTTCCTCATAGAGATAAAAATAATAGAAATATATGAATAACTTTTTATAAATATGGTAAAAGTGATTGAATTTTGGGTCAATCAATGTATTTTTAAATATCCTACAAAATAGTTACAATAATTTAATAGTTAAATAAAAATTTTCAAACAAAAAAGTTGAGAAAATGGCATTTTTCACAATTTTTGGTTTTTAAAATACCAATAATTTCGAAATTTATTATCGAATTAGGTTCAAAAATAGGTCAATCGAAGCGTTTTTTAATGCTCTACAAGTTGATAACGATAATTTTAAAATTACTTCTACTTTTTTCAACAAAATTTTCAAAAAAGTCTTATTTTCCAAAATTTTTGATTTTTAAAAGTTTAATAACTCCGGTTAATATGGACGAAAAATGTTCAATTAGGGCTCAATAGATGCGTCTAAAAAAACTCTACAAAATTATGGAAAAACATTTATAGGTGTCCTAACATTTTTTTAAAGTTATGGGCAAAAAACGTTTTTTTGAAAAATTAAAAATCCAAAAAAAATTTAGTTAAACTTTATTAATATATTAGAAAGTACTCTCATTTTATGTCCGCAGGTGAGATCTACAATTTAAAAAAAAATTCAACCCAAAAGCTCTTCATGATTTCGAGATATTTATAAAAATGTGATGTTTACACACACACACACACACACACATACGGAATGACATTTTTTAAAAATGTCATTTTTGAACTCCTGAGGTCAAATAACATAAAGATATGTCAAAAAATCGAACTCGAAAAATTTCGGTATTACAATACTTCCTCTATGAGGAAGTAATATGAGGAAGTAAAAATTAAAATTGAAACTGAAAATTTTTGTTTTTTCAGTAAAAAATTTTGAAAATTAAGCAAAAAGAAATGATATTTATAAAAAAGAAAATAAATGATACTGACGTTCGTCGGGTTGGCGATGATGTTTGTGGGACTACTGACCGCGTTGCTGTGGGCCTGATCAGTCTTGAGCTCCCGATGATTGCTGAATTGAACATAAACTGCTCGTCCTCTCAACTGCGCAACAGAGGAGCCATAAAATGTAACCATTGTGGCTGCAGACACCTCATCTGCCATTTCCAAAAAGGCCTGAAACAACAACAAAAAATCAAAGATTAAATTTTTTTATTTAGAATAGAAAAAAAGAATTTCGAATTTTTTTCAAAATATTTTGACAATTTAGCACCATAAATTACTAGTTGTATTTTTTTAACGAATAAAAATAATAATAATAATAATAATAATAATAATAATAATAATAATAATAATAATAAAAATAGCATTGATTATAAATTATTTGTAATTAACAATGGTTACAATTTCTGGTGGTTGTAACTACCAGTGGTTGTACCTACAAATTTTCGCTCCTCTCATTTACTGTTTCCCATTTATTCATTTATTTTTTTTTTCATGTTTGTTAATTATAAATAATACAATGAAACACTGAAAATAGTCGCTTCCGCATTCAATGAGAAGTAATTTAGAGTTTCAATACTTTATTCGATGAGTTTTGAGTAAAGCAGCTTTTATCCTAGTTTCGAATGAATTAGTCTAGATGGAATTAATTAATTGCCAGAAGACATTTTGTGACTCAGCGGGGAATCAAACACGGATTTTCTGTGTCTCTGGGGAAACCAATTTTCTCGCAAATGAAAAAAAAAATTGTCACTCTTTCTTTTTTTTTCTCTTTTTCTTTATCTCTCTCTGTTAATTATTGAAATTAATTTTCAAATCTCTTTTTCACACAGGAAATGAATATTTAATTTTACGTAAAAATTAAATTAAAAGCCAAAAAAAAAATTTTTTTAAATATATAAACATGAAAATTTCTAATTGACTGTGTAATTATTTTTTTTGATTATAAACGTTAACCTGGTTTTCTCATTTTCGTCAACACTTCATATTCACCGTCAACAGTTGCCCGTAAAGTGTGAAACAACACTTCGCTGTCATGTTATATTTATAACGTAATTCACTCATTAGTGCTCTTTTCATTTAGAAACAAGCTTTAAACTGTTATCTAATTTTTCTTTCTTTTTTTCAAAAATAAAAACCCTCTGCAATTGTATAATCTGATTGAAGAAATAAGTCAATTAATTGGGAAAAAATGGACTCAATCAGAAAGGAAAATACGAAAATAGAGACATATAGATTTTTTGTTGTTGAAAATTTTGATTTATTGAAAGTCTGGAAGTTTACAATTTTCCATTTTTTCTAATTTTAATTATTTATTATAGTTAATATTGCTGACAGATAAAATATTTATTTACAATTAATGACAGTTAAAATTATTTTTAGTTACAATTATTGGTAGTCAAAATTCTTTGTAGTAAAAATCATTAAGTTACAATAATTGGTTGGCATAAACATTTGTAGTAAGAATTTCTGATATTAAAAAACATTTTTTTACTATTATTGGTAGTCAAAATTATTTATAGTAAAAATAATTTAGTTACAATTATTGTTTGTCAAAAATATTTGTACTAAAACAAATTTTATTACTATTATTGGCAGTCAAAATTATTTATAGTAAAAATTATTTAGTTACAATTATTGGTTGTCAAAAATATTTGTAGTAAAACAATTCTGTTACTATTATTAGTAGTCAAAATTATTTAGTTACAATTATTGGTAGTCAAAAACATTTGTACTAAAATAATTTTTTTACTATTATTGGTAGTCAAAATTATTTATAATAAAAATTTTTGATAGTTGCAATTATTCATAGTAAAAACCTCTGATAGTAAAAATTATTTAGTTACTATTATTTGTAGTAAGAATTTCTTACTATAACTTTGTATTTATTCATAGTAAAAACCCATGATAGTAAAAATCTTTTAGTTACAATTTATTGATAGTTAAAATGATTGGTAGTAAAAATGTTTGATAGTAAATGTCATTTAGTCACAATTGTTTGTAGTTTAAATTATTTATAGTAAAATTTTTTGATAGTAAATATCATTTAGTCACAATTGTAAGTAGTTTAAATTATTTATAGTAAAAATTGCTGATAGTAAAAATCATTTAGTTACTATTATTGGTAGTAAAATATTTTTACAGTTTGTAATTATTCATAGTAAAAATTTCTGATAGTAAAAATCATTTACTTACAATTATTGGTAGTAACAATTATTTATAGTAAAAATTTTGCACAGTTGCAATTACCGGTAATAAAAAATTCTGTTAATAAAAATTTTTTTATAGTTGCAATTATTCGTAGTTAAAATTACTTGTAGTAAAAATTTCCGATAGTGAAAATAATTAATTATAAAATAAAAATTGAAAATAAAATTGAAAATTAATAATTAGAATTGAAAATGAAAAATTAAAATCGAAAACTACAATTAAAAATTCAAATTGAAAATTAAAAATTAAAAATTAAAAATTAAAATATCTGCTTGAAAAAATTTCTGGTATTTAAAATTACTAATAATGATTGAAATGAATAAAAAACAGAATTTCAGATATAATATTTCTCGAAATAAGGAGACAATTATTTTTAATTTTTTTTTTCTGCCAGTGTCAATTTGACAAAGGAATGGATATGTCGTGTTATTTTGATATTTAGCCAATGTGGGACATCTTTATTCGGTCGTTGGAAGCCGTTGGGAAACTAGAGAGTAAACGAGAAAGTAGGAAATTATGCAGATTAATTAAGGAATGGCAAAGCACTGCCTCACAAAGAACAAGAGGGCGAACGAGTATGGGAGTCTAGGGATGCAGTAATGAAGATAGAAATAGACTCACTAGAAGTGGTACCCAGTCTTTAGGAGACAGTTAATCTCGAATATAAATATGTGTAAACACTGCAAGGAAAATTGCAAGATTAACCTTCCTTCGTTATTTCATTATTCAGCCATTGCCTTTGTCTTTTTTTTTTACTGTTCACTCCTTAAAAACAAGGAAAAAAAAGAAGAAAAAAATTATTTCTAAATAAAAAAAATATTTTTCAATTAAAAAAAATATTTTTTAAATAGAAAAGATATTTTTTTAATTAAAAGGACACTTTCAATCAAGAAACACTTTTTCATGGAAAAAGTAATTAGTTATCATTAAAATGACACTTTTTTCAATTAAAAATTTATCAATTAAGTAATTAATTAAAGACACTTATTCAATTGAACTCTTTCTCTAATAAAAATTAATAAAAAAATAAAAAATATACTTTTTCGCAATTAACAATTAATTATTTTGTTCTCATAATTTTTATTTGTTTTTTATACAAAAAACAAATAAGTATTTTTGTAAGTAAATAATTGTTAATTTTCATTACATTTCTTATTACTATTTCAATTATTATTTCCATTGGATTGGATTTATTATTTATTTATTATTATACCTATTTTTGTTGTTATTATTATTGTTATTGGCATTATCAATATTGTCATCATTATTATCATCATTATTATCATCATCTCTAGATTGAATAGTTAAAATTATCAGAATATATTTTGTTTCAATTAATTACTAACTTAAATTATATTGAACTAAATTGAATGTGTCTATATAATTAATTAGTTGGAATAATTAATTAAATTAGAACTTAATATCACTGGAGAAATGATTGCATTGTTACCAGTATAATGTTTAATAACAATTTTGAATAGAAATAAATTATAATAGAATTAAAAAAATATTTCAATTAATCAATTAAATATTTAAAAAAATTTCAATATAATCAACTAATCAATCATAAATTCAGAATACTTAATAATTAACTGATTAATTAAATATTTACGCATACGACAGAATGAATAATTAAGTCATCTAAATATTAGAACGACTAATTAATTAAATATTAAGAGGATTTAGTATTTCACCATGCTGATTAGAAAGATTTTATTATCGAAAGTTAATGAAATTAATTTGTGGAAATTGATAAAATTAATTTATTATACTTAATATAATTAGTTTTTAATATTAGTAAAATTAAAATTAAAATTAATTTACATAATTAAAATTAAAATTAATATACATAATTAAAATTAAAATTAATTTACATAATTAAAATTAAAATTATTTTACAATTTACATAATTAAAATTAAAAGTAATTTACAAAATTAAATTCATAAAATTACTAAAAATTGTCAGGTGAAATTACAATGATAAATTATTATCAGTTGATAATTTTAATTATTTAATTAAATCGAAAAACTAATTGTACTTATAACAAATTTTCATTTTATCAACAGGATTAAATATTTTGCAAACTTAAATTATCTCGATTCAATTTACTTTAAAATTGTAAAATTAAATATTTACGTAATTAACAAAATAAATATTTGCATTGCAAAATAACTTAAAAAAGAAAAAACGAGGCGAAAGAATGAATAAGAAAATGAAAGAATTTTTACTAAAGGCAAAGAGAGAGTGAGAGAGAGAGAGAGAGAGAGAGAGAGAAAATTTGTGATGGAATATCTGAAAGTTGTGTCATGTAAACACAAGACGGAGAAAACGGTAGAGTGAAAAGGAGGTTGGAAGAGAGGACCGGAAGGAAGATTCCGGGCAAACTTATACACTTGAGAATTTCATTTTAATTACATCAAGTCGATGTAATCAACGGAGAAGCTTTAAAACCTCAAGTAAAATTCATTCAAATTGTGAACACTATAAAAACGAGAGAGGTTTATTGATTTTCTTGGTTTTTTTCCTATTTTCTTTTTTTTTTTGAAAAAATATTTTTTTTTCCACGAAAAAAGCGAGAGGATTTTTATTTTTAACTCGATGGTTAATTTATATTCTTAATGATACTTGATCAATTCGAGATGGATATTTTCCTTTTTTTTCTCTCTAAATTACGATTTCAATTTTTTACATTAAATTCAAAGAATAATATGTTTTTTTCTTTATTTATTTATAAACGAGACAAGCTCTATTTGAGAGAAGAGAAAAAAAGAGGTCTCTCATTAAAATAAAATTTGTATAGAGTAAATAGTTTGAATAAGCAAAAAAAAAAAAAAAATAGAAATGCTTTTTCAGTAAATTATTTTTTTTAAGTTTTAGAAATATTTATCTGTAGAATTTAAAAATAGGTATTACTCAAAAGATTAAAAATGTAGAGTATAAATTTTACATTTGTGGTAAGAAT